GGCTTCTCCTGAATTTTCTGTTCTTTCTGCCTCACATGTTTTATCACCCTGAGCAGCCTGGTTTATTCCAATTGGCATTTGGTTATTTAATTCCTCTGAGTAGGGTTTTCTTCTATGATGGCAGAAAAGGTCTGAACTTGATTTGCTGTGGGGGCCTGCATGAGGCTCCTCTGGGAATTTCCCGAGGACCGAGGCAAAGGATTGTTTTGTCTGTCCCTTGTTGATCTACATTCGTTGGTCCAATGTTTACCCTTACCACACCTTCTGCATATTCCAGAAGAGAGTGCATTCTGTTGCTGTTGTTCCTGGAATAAACATTATTTCTAGAAATGCCCTGTTTACATTCCCATTTTAAATGACCTTGCTTTCCATATCCAAAATGTCTGACATTCCTTTTGAAATTGCTTCTCCTATCCATGTATCTTCATGGCTATGAGACTCAATATTAATTGTGTCCCTGATCCAGTCCTCCAAAGGTGCAGATCTTGCCTTTAACGGCCTGATTATTCTTTTGCATGCTGCATTTGCAGTCTCAAAAGCCAAAGATTCAATTATTATCTCTCTAGCTTCTGATTCTGGTACCATTCTATTTACTGCTAAAGACAGTCTTTGTAAGAAATCCATGAAAGATTCTTTTGGGCCCTGTATAACCTTTGGAATGACTCAATTTTCTTTCCTGGTTCCTCAACTCTGCCCCATGCAATCATGGCTGCCACGCAGCAAAGAATTAATGTTTGGTTATCATACAAACATTGTTTTTGTATTGGCCTTCTCCAAGAAGCTGATCCTGGGAAATTTCTATACCTCTAGCTCTACACTGGTTTTCTGTTGTCTTAGCCTCATCTCTGTACCACATAAACCACTGCAATTGCACTCTGTGTTCCAGGACAGCCGTTACTAATTCTTTCCAGTCTTCAGGAATAATCCCATTACAAGTTGACCAAGAGTTTAACATTTGCTTTTCAAATGGAGAATGCATGCCATAGAATACTATAGCTTCCTTAAATATCCTCAAATCTAACATTTCAACTGGAGTATGGTTACCAGATAAATTAAGTCTGATTGTTTGAAAACAGGCTGTCTCTCTGTAACCTTATAATCCAATCCTGAAATAATTTCACCTTTAAATTCTTCTGTCTGAGTCTGAATTTCTCTATAATTAATTTTCATAGGTTTTTCTAAAGCATTTATCTTGGCACTTAAATTGACCATCTTTTTAAATAGTAAAATAAGGGTAATTAAACAAATAATATGCATATTTGATGTTACATACATTCCATCAACACTAATTATCTCATGTAATTGTTCCATATTCAGACTGCCTAATATTTTATCAAACAAAGACCAATTTTCTTCCTTGCAAAGATATTTCCCATTTTCTAATGTAGAAAAAATTTTCTCTTTTAAGTAGTTTCTCCCTTTAAGATATCTGATATGTTAATTGAATTACCAAGACTATGTATAACAGTAGAAGTCTGAGGGAATTTCAAAACAGCTACCTAGTGTGGTTGCAGTCTGAGATGGAAATCGAGAGAGAGAGAGAGAGAGAGAGAGAGAGAGAGAGAGAGAGAGAGAGAGAGAGAGAGAGAGTCTACTACCTACCAGGAGAAGAGAGAAAAGCTAAAAAGCTTAAGTCCAGCCTGAGCAGGGCCTGAACCAGGGGCCTATAAACCCACAAGCAGTTAGCCACTAGTAACTCCAGCCCCTTTAATCTCCCACGATGTGAGTTTGCAGATCTGGGTATAAGTAGCTCCAGCTGCATGCACCCTGACCACATGTAGCTATATGATCAATTGCAGCTCTGGCTGCATTTAGCTGGACAGCTTGTAGCTCCATTCAGTACTGGGGCCTGTAACTCTAGCCAAACTGGGGCCTGTATCCCCTGGCCTGCAAGGCCACCTATGGTTTTTAAATGAATTATCACCATTTGTGTGCCAAATATAGACAAATTTCTAAACAGACTCATTAAATAAGAAACACAGAACCAAATATAGGGGTAATAGCCAAAGAGATCAGAGCAATAGTGAACTAGCTTACCACCATGCTATAGCTTCCACAGAGAGCTTCTTGCTGTCTAAACTGCACTTTTATTGACTTCCTGTCCTGCCTTCTCATTGGTTCTAAGGCCAGCCACATCACTTCCTCATCACTGCCTGTCTATATAGACCTCCAGGTCTCTATGATTGGCACTGGATTTAAAGGTACATGTCACCATGTTTGGCTGTATCCTTGTCCACTCAAAGACTCTGCCTGCTGTGTGATCAGATTCAGGGTGTGTGCTACCACTGCCAGACTTCTGTTTTATGGCTTGCTATGACCTCTGATGTCCAGGAAAGCTTTATTTATTAACATACAATTAAAATATCACATTTCAGCACAAATAAAATACCAACACAATTTTCTTTCAACAAGACAGAAAGTTATGCAAATCATTTCTAAAGTTCAGAGATTATAATCAGCTTTGATACCATTGTGAAAGTTTTCTTGAGAGTTTGAAGTCAGAGCCTAATCCATCAGTGGCTCTAAGCTTTATTTGGTAACTCTGGGTAAAATCCATTTTCTTAATTTTTTAAAGTTGCTTTTTTTAAGATTACCAGGACCATTTCAAAGTAGCTGGTTGACAAAAGGTATTAGCATTTTAATTGCATCCTGACAGGTAGTTTTTCTGCACAACAAAGAAAATTACAGGTCTTGGTCAATCTTAGCACTGAGCTTTGGTGTAAAGTCTTTGGCTTCTGGATAGATACAGAAGTTAATCCTCATTCTGTGTCCACTGGCACAAACTCCTATGATTTCAGGATATTCCAGCTTCAACTCTTCCTCCTTTCCTTGCATCTCTGATTTCTCTTTTGTGTGATAGATTGCACTGAGAATGCTTTCTCCCACTTGGCAGGAACTTCCAAGGTGGACAGACTGTTTTTAAAGTCTAGTAGATTTTTCTTTCTGCCTATAACTCATGCCTTCCTGTTCCTCCATTTGCTTTCATGATTTTCCTGGCACAGAAGGAACACCCAGAGCTTTGAACCATGTTCACACTCTTTTATCTCACATCCTCCCAGCTGCTGTCTTGTCTCAGTGAATGACTTCTGCTCTGATTCACGTGAAGTCATTAGAGGCAGGTGATGAATGTGCCTGGGAGCCTCTCCTGAATCAAGATGAAGCTAATGGTTCAATGATGCGGTTTTACTTACTCTTCACAATGCTGGTGGTAGACATCAAAATGTTCCTTGGCTGAGGATTTGGGGAATCAGAAAATGAAACCCAGGATAGATGTCATGAGCTCTTTCCTAACTCTGATGGCCCAGATGTGAGGGAGAGTGGACATCAGCACATATGATGACCATAGTAAACAGAGAAGGACACTTAATTTAAGACTGTGGAACTTCTTTTGGAGTCTCCCTGTGGAGGAGAAGGACTTAACAGTCTGAATAATGTCCTACAGCCCAAAGTCACCTGTGAAAAATACATTTCAGTTGAGTAACTATCTTTATCAGGTTGGGCTCTGGACATGCCTTGAGGCATTTGTCTTAACTGATGCAGGAGGACTCAGGCCACTTTGGGAGTATCATCCTTAGGCAGCTGGTCCTTGATTGTACAAGAAAGCTAGTTTAGCATGAGCCACAATATGAACCAGTGAATGAGCCAGCAAGCAGCATTTTTTTTGCCTTGACTTCCTTCATTGCTACACTATGACCCAGGCATGGAAGAAAAATACATCATTTGTTCTTCTATTCAGGGTGTTTTTATTATAGCAAGGGAAAGAAACCTAGAAAAGTGCATAGGGAAGAGAGTATGACACATGCATTTGAACCAATGTTCTCTATACTCAAAAGCAGGACCCCTTTGGGAAAAGAGAAGAGAAGAATTTAGACACCAGAGATGAACTAGAAACTGCAAGTTGATCCCCTACATGTACTGAAGGTATCAGGCAGTTTACATTTGGGTTTTGACCATCCTTGCTGTAGCCCTAGACATGAAACTGCAGTCCTCCTAATGATCTCTGGGGAGTGATATCAAGACATATGGTCAACATTCAGAAAATAGCTTCCTGAGCCATGACCTGGCATTCCAGACTAGTTTTCTACCCTGCCTCCGCTATCCCAGAGTTCCTGTCCTAAACCTTGCTTTGACTTATTGGATGCTTTCTGTGTTTGAGAATACCTTTCTGAATGGGGAACCTGAAAGTATCCTTCTTCCTAGCATCTATCATAGAAGAACACAGGATTACCAGAGGGGCATTTCATAGACAAAGGGCATAGGCGACCCATCAAGATCAGAGAGGACATGGGCTCACCCAACACACAGTTGCATTGGATATTGCACAGATGCTGGAAGGTGCATTGAAATCCTTCATAGGAAGATGGAGCCCATGGTTCTTTCCAGGTCATACATCTCACCTCTTCCCCAACACTGAGTACATGAAACTGCACACACAATTGATTCAGGTTTCTCGTGCCTCAGAACTTTGACTGGTTACACCAGTGATAAAAGACTGATCTACTTCCCAGGTCATCAGTCACTTGGTCCCTTTGCAGTCCTCAGAGGCATCCCTGTCCCCTCACTGCTGGAAGTAAATCCCACCTTTTCACAGCACTGAGAAGATAGGGTGCACTGGGTGATTACCTGGGTCTCTGTGTCACATAGACACATAGGCAGGAATGAGCCTCCCTCCTTGCAGCTGACAGACCCAAGGCCATCACAGCAGATGTCCATTATTCTCTGAGGGTGCGGGGATGCTTATCAGCCTTGTAGCTTGATGTGTTACTTGGAGGTGAAATATAAGGAGAGAAAAGGTGAGAGGGATTTGAGACAGCACTGAGAGTGGAAGGGACAGAGCAGTGCCTTGGACACAGACCCCACCACCCACAGATCATTGGGTTCTGTGATGTGCTCCTGCCTGGGAGTACACACACGTCAGAGGAAGGAAGGAGAGCCAAACTTGGAGCCTGAAGTAAAGGTGAAGCTCATCTCCAAGGGAGGAAAGCACAGTGAGAAGAGAGATGGAGGTGTCATCTCTGATTCCATGCAAGGGCTACACCCCCTGGCAGGGGCTTCTTCTCACAGGTAAGTGTGTCTATTCTCTGAGTGTAGAGGGAAGGGACCTCAGAAGCAGGATGGAGTGTTCTAAAGAGGAAAGGAGCCCAAGAGGATACTTGGGGTTTCTGTTTGCAGTCACAAGGCAGAAGGCACAGGGAGGGACAGAGGCTCAGCAGCCTGAAGCTCTCAGCAGACAGGAGGTGATGAGGGAAAGTGAAAAGCCCCAAACACTAAATATTCAAAGTTTGTCATATTGGCTGCTGTGTTCTGAAGACTGATGTTCCCTGACAGGTTCACTCTCCAGACAAAAATCAAAAAGGGGTGGACCAGTGAGATTGCTCAATGTCCAGTTATATAATCTGAATTCATTCCTCAGGCCCTACATGGAAAGAATAGACTCCTGAAAGATCAAACCAGCCCTCCATACAAGACCTGACATACAGACCTGCAGATGTACACATTGGGACACATGCTTCCCACGAGCACCGTTTCATGGACTAGCACATGCACACACTGAGACAGGCCCTTCACAAATACACACATCAAACACATAAGTAAATGTAAAAAAAAGAAATCATACTTGAATACAATTATTGTCAATATTGCCAAACTTAGGGACTACATAGAGAAATCCATGGACACAGTCCTCCTTCCTTCTTTCTGCAATTCTTCTTTCCTTTCTCCACTGGTGTCTGTGTCTTTTACAGGAATTGAACCTTCCAAAGACTCCAGGTTATCACAAACAACTGGTTATAGTGGAACAAAATCAGATTGTCTAGAGCATGAAGTCTCAAGTTGGCTAGAACTAGGAAGGGAACAGAGAAAAATGTCAGAAAGTGAGGGCTCTCTAGAGGTGGAGGTCAGAGAGCATTGCTCCTTGCACAAATGTTCTTTATGTGAAGATGGATATGCGGACACTGTGTGGGGATCCAGGCAGACACTTGGAGCAAGGAATCCCCATATAGAGAAATTATATAGTTAGAGGCATTGAGGGAATGGTAGTCATGTTGCTCACCTCCATCATGGAGGGTGGGCACATCCCTACCACACACCTAAGCTGAGTGATGAACGTACCTGCTCAGTGTTGGTTGTGTTTCTCTTTTCTGGTCTAGCCTCCCTTTTCACCTGCTGGCATCTGTCCACCACTGCCCAAGTCACCATTGAATCAGTGCCGCCCCAAGTGGTTGAAGGAGAAAACGTCCTTCTACGTGCCAACAATCTGCCAGAGAATCTTCTAGCTTTCTCCTGGTACAAGGAGGTGAGGAATGTGAACCTCAGAATTGCACTATTTGCACTGAACAAGAATCAAATTGTGATGGGGCCTCAACACAGTGACAGAGAAACAGTGTACAGCAATGGATCCCTGTGGCTGAAAAATGTCACCAAGAAGGACACAGGATTCTATACCCTACAAACAGTGAATAGAGCTGGAAAAATTGTATCTACAACAACCATGTACTTCCATGTGTACAGTAAGTGATTCTGTATAAAATCTGGGTGCAGGTTGGGGTTCATTACACTGGAGATGCACAGAAATATCAAACCTAGCCTGTGTCTACCTCCACTCTACATGTGTCCCCATGTTTGAGTTTGGGCATTTAGTTCAGGACACACAAAATGGAGAACAACTGCCGTAGGTCAGAATCCTTCATTTGACTGGACCTTGTAGATGTCTGGATGCATGGTAGGTAAATCACCCTAGGCTATTTCGACTATCTATATTCTTGGGGTTCTCATAAGAGATATGTCCCTGAGAATGTCCCCAAGTGACAGAGAGTGAGCCTGTTCAATGGATTGAATGGGAATGGGATTGTGATGCGATGGTGAGTCCCAGGAAGCCCTGGTTGAGGACCTCTGTCCCAGACTCAACACCAGGTAGCCCTGAGATGCATTTTACTAGAGTTACATTTTTACTTCCTGATGTCAGGAAACATGTTTTTTAACCGTTGATGTCTTGTGATATGTGGAACCAGCTAGTGTACTGTTATGAGAGCTAGAGTTTGGGTAGATCCTGAGACATCTTGTTCAGAGACAAAGTGGGAGAGCACAGGTGCCCAGACCATTAAATAGATGTCCTGAAATGGTTATGAGACTTCCAGGAAGGTCATGGTTGCCAAAGAGAGGGACAAAAAACACAGGTTCTCCTGACAATTGCTTTCCTTCTGGGGGCCAACTAAGGGAATTCTCCCCTGAAGGCAAATGGCTAGAGGTTCTGCTGATCTGCATAGCTCCAAAGATGTGAGCTGCAGTTCCCCAGTGACAAAGAGGGGGAAACTATCAGGCCACACAATCAGTACTTAGAAAAGTATTTGTCTGAATCAGGACTTTACCTTGTAGCCTGGATTCTACTTCTGTCACTTCAGACATGAAAGCCATGGACAAGGCCTTCTCAGATGTATTGGCTCCTTCCTGTATCTGCTACATTGATAGACCATCATATTCAGCTACCCCTTTATGTAGTTTCTTTGGGAAAGGTAGGGTACCCAAGCAGAATGACCTAGACTGAAGTCCAAGGTACCTTAGAATGGCAAAAGAGCTAAAGGACAGACCCATCACATAGCTCAGTAAGCAGAGGAAGTGGAAGCATTGCCTTGCAACTCTACACAGGACAGTAGAATCCACATCCTCCTTCTGTGACTCGGGTCTCCTATTCCCACACACCCAGGCTGGGAGATTCCTGACACATCTGCTCCTTGGCCTTTGTCCTGAGTCAGTACCCTGACTAGTGACTGCAAAGAGAATAGTTTTGTCCCTTTTTTCATGTACCACATAGCTGGTCACTTTGGAGCCCTTACAGACAGTTCTGCCCACTTTCTGTTGAAAGCAAATTCCATGTTTCAGAACATTGAGATCACATGGTAGACTGTGAATATAGCTGGATTTCTCTCCCACATAGGTAGTACAGAGACTCACTCTTGGGTGCTGACAGACCAATGCCAGGATACAGCAGAGGGCAACCCTAGATTAAGCAGCTGCTTTTTCAAGGCCCAGGGATGTTCATCATCCTTGTCCACATGTGATCTGGATGACTGAAACACAAAGACAGAAGGGGAGAAAGACACCAGGCAACACTGAGTGTAGAGGGGCAGAGAAATATTTTGAACACAGACCCACCCACAGCCCATGGGAGTCTATGGGGTGCTCTGCCTCTTCAGCTCCGAGTAGGAAAGGACAGCAGATTTTGGAAGCAGTTCTGGAGTAGATGTGCCACAATAGGAAGACATATAGTAGTGTCATGGAGACAAGGAATACACTCTCTGTACCCCTCTACAAAGGGTACACTACCTGTCACGGGCTCCTGCTCACAGGTGAGACTACAAGTTGATAGTGTATATGAAGAGAGGACTGACTTACCATTTGGAGTCTCCTAAATGGGACAAGGACCTGAGAAGAGTCTCACAGCTTGTAGAGGAGAAGACACAGGCCAGAGAGTTGCTCAGCAGCAGGAAGCTCTCAATGAACAAGAAACCATAAGGGGTGGTGGTGATTGTTCTTACCCAAAGTTATGCACCATGGCCACAATATTCTGAAGACTGATGTTCTCAGTTATGACTTCACAAACAAAAAATCAAGCTAGTAGTCATCAGTGACATGGCCCTGATATCAATGGATATGGGCATTTCGTTGATTGTCTGATGAACTTAGAAGCAAGGATTCCAAAATGTCCTCTGACCTCCACCTAAGTACTGTGCCCTGCATCCATGCCCCATGCACACTGAGACAGGCCTTTGCATGCAAACTCTCATACAAATATAATTTGTAAATAAGTGCCAAAAAGCCAGTGAAAAAAATTTACACTGTATCCACAAACCTATGTTTTTCTTAAATAAATCCACGAGCATAAAGGGTTCTGAGAAATCCTTCATTGATTGAGTCTCTACATGTATCTGAGATTTTTCTAGGCAGCATTTTCTTTTAAAAATATAAGACAAATCATGTAAGCATTCTTACAATGCTCCAGTTTGAGTGGACTTGAAGTACAAGAAGCTGGAGTGTGAATTAAGGTGTTGGCTGGAACCACAAGAGTAACAGAACAACAGCAAAACATCAGAGAGTGAAGATGCAGGGTGTGTAGGGGAAGAGGAGGGGCAGGCATCATCCCAACACCATTCTACCATTAATGAGAGCAGGGGTCTGAGGGTGGAGAGCCAGGCCATGTTGACACCTGAGCAGAGAGTGACATATAGTGGAAATGACTACTTTGGGGACACTGAGAACATGAGGTCATGTGCTGACATCCACCAAGCAAGACAGCAGTGAGCCAGGCCATGTTGACACCCGAGAAGACAGTGCCATACAGTGGAAATGACTAGAATGAGGACACTGAGAATGTGGAGGCTATGTGCTGACCTCCACCAAGTAGAAAAATGAGACACTTATGCACACATGTAGGCTGAGCAATGGACACAGCTGTTCAAGACAAAGGGAAGCATCTTAGCTTCCTAATAGGACCCAATATTAATACATCTCTCTTCTCTTCTAGCTTCCCTTTACACCTGTGGGCACCCTCCCCCCTCTGCCCAGCCCACTATTGAATCAGTGCCACCCAGTGTTGCTGAAGGGGGAAGTGTTCTTCTACTTGTTAACAATCTCCCAGAGAATCTTCAAGCTCTTTACTGGTACAAAGGGGTGATTGCACACAAGAAGTTTGAGGTTGCCCGACACCTAAGACAAATAGATTCAAGTTTGCAGGGGCCTGCGCACAGTGGTAGAGAAGCATTGTTCAGCAATGGATCTCTCCTGCTCTACAATGTCATCTGTAAGGACACTGGATTCTACACCCTACGAACTCTGACTACAGATCTAAAAGCTGAAGTAGCCCATGTGCAACTCCAGGTGAACAGTAAGTGATTCTGTGTGATTGTTCAGTGCTGGGTGAGGCTTAAATACACAGGACTCTCATGTCTGCCTTTTGCATGACTCCTCTCCACACCGTGTCTCCCTGATGGGGTTTGACCACTTAGTGCAGGACACATATGGTGGAGACAAGTGGCCATAGATCATGATCTGTAATCTGAGTTTTCCTACTCCCAGTATTGAGAAAGACATTGATGGAAGGTAATTCGGCATAAGATGTCATACTCTGTCCAATATCTGGGGGTTCTATCCATGTGTGTGAGGAAACCATAGCATCCTTACAGAGGTGAGCACCAGGAAGCCCTGTTCCCTGTTATGTGTCCTAGGCCCGACTATATATGACCCTGGAGATCTTTTGTCCAGGACTTGATTCTTACTTCTTCTCAGAGCTGAACAGGGAACAATGGTTTTTAGTTGCCGGGGCCAAACTGGGGTATGTTTTACCTCCAGATTGATAGTGTCATATATAAAATATGGTACAGTAACTGGTACAGAGACCATAGAGGAATATTGTTACTGACTTGAGACTTATGGCTTGGCCTCCTCTCTTTTATCACCCAAGACTGATAGCCTAGGGTTGTAACTGCCTGCAGTGAGCTGGATCCTCTCACACTAATCTGCAATTATATATATATATATATATATATATATAT